ATATGGATTACGTCTCAATATAAAGAAAACAAAAATGCTCACAACTGGAACAATGAGCAGCATCACAATAAATGGAGAGAAGATTGAGGTTGTCAAAGAATCCACGTTGCTTGGTTCTACAATCCTTGCCAATGGAAGCAGCAGTCAGGACATTAGATGACGTGTATCGTTGGGAAAGTTGACTGTGAAGGAACTGTTTCAAGTCTCCTTGGGGACTAAGGTGTGCCTGACACAAACCATGATATTTCCAATTGCCTCATATGCATGTGAGAGTTGGGCAATGAATAAGGAAGACTGAAGAAGAGTTGATGCTTTTGAGTTGTGGTGCTGGCGAAGAATGCTCAAAGTACCATGGACTACTAAAAGAACTAACAGATCTGTCCTGGAGGAAGTGCACCCGAAATGCTCCTTGGAAACGAGAATGGCCAGACTTCGTCTCACCTATTTTGGTCATATTGTCAGAAGGGACCATTCCCTGGAGTAGGATGTCATGCTTGGTAGGGTGGAGGGTCGACAGAAGAGGGGGAGGACTTTCACAAGATGGATTGACATGGTAGCTGCAATGAGGGCTCAGGTATAGCAGGGATTGTGGAGCTGGCGCAGGATTGGGCAGTGTTTTGTTCTGCTGTGCATGGGGTCATTATGAGTCGGAAACGACTCAACGGCACCTAACAACAACAACATATGCATGCAAAAGCTGGGCAGTGAATAAGGAACACCAAAGAAGATTGATACCTTTGAATTATGTTGTTGATGAAGAATATTGAGTACACCATGGACTTCCAGAAGAATGAACAAATCTGTTTTGAAAGAAGTACAGCCAGAATGCTCCTTACATGAGAGGATGATGAGACTTTGTCTGTTATACTTTGGACATGTTATCAGATGGGACCAGTCCCTGAAGAAGAACATCATGCTTGGTCAAGCAGAGAGTCAGTGAAAAAGACAAAGACCCTCAATGACATAGATTGACACAGTGACTGACACAGTGGGTCAGACATAGCTGGGTTTGCGAGGATGGTGCAGGACTGGGCATTATTTTGTTGTGCATAGGGTTGCTATAAGTCAAAACTGACTCAACGGCACCTAAAAAAACAACAAGTGTACTTTGATAATATGGTATTAAAAGGTGAATGAGTGCTGGAAAAAGACTGATTTTCTCTGTAATAGAGGTGGTTGTTGTTGTTGTTAGGTATCATTGAGTCTATTTTCACCCATAGCAACCTCATCTGAGAGAATGGAACTGCCACGTAGGATTTTCTAGACTGTAATCTTTATGGGAACAAACTACTGGGCTCTCTCTTGTGGAGCTGCTACGTGGGTTTAAACCACCAAAAGTAAGCAGCCAAGCACCATTGCACCACCAGTGCTCTTTGTTATAGAAGTTAGGGTTGTTTATTTATTTATTTGTTTGTTTATACTAGTTGTTATTTATTAACACTGGAATTATGAAACTGGAGTGAAAATAATCTTGAAGATTTTTTGGATAGATATTAAAATTAGCAAGTCTGAAAGATTTTACAAATGGAGGAAAAACACTTTCGATGTACGAAAACGTAATAGATTCCTTCCTTTGCCACTTTTCTCAAATATTCTGGGAAGAGATTGTAAAAGCAGAATTAAAGATAGCAGCACCATGCAAACCAGTTTTCATGTTTTACCTGTAGTTGTGGTTTGGGTTTCTCAAACACCTGTTTGTCTTGACTGCTAGTATAGAAACTTCAGAGGGATCTAGTGTTTTCCCAAGAGGTATCTTGTGATAACTTCAGGTTTCTTTTGCAACTAATACCTGCAATCTCTACTTACTGTATCAAATTTAACATAAAATGAAATCTTTACTCAAGCAGAAGAATTGTGATGAATCTCTAGTTGTTTCTATCTCTAGGGAGTAAACTAGTCATAGAACTGTGAGTTTATAGTTAAAGTTAGTAGGGGTAAGGAGGAGGAAAAAGAGTATTTCCATTTATTATAACCCAAAAGATACACAATAAAATATCATTGCTTTGTAACTGCTGAGTGTGATCTTTCCCAGAATTGTGACTCTGGGGATCATTTTAGGCCTAAAGATAACAAAGTCTATTAACTTTTCATGGAACTCAAGACGTACTTTTGAGGATGGTTGTAACTAGAAAACTGGGAGTGAAAAATGAAGCTTTTGTGCACAAGTTAAGTGATGTGTGTCCTTGTTCAGTCCCTAACTCTCCCTCTCCATAAAATAAATTTTCTCTCATAACTTATTAAAAGCACAGCATATTCTTTTCTTTCTTTCTTTTTTAAAATATTTATTGTGATTTGGGTGAAAGTTTACAGAGCAAATTCACTTTCCATACAGCAGCTCACATATGCTTTGTCTCATGACATTGACTGCAATTTCCCACAGTGCAACAGCTCCCTTCCCACTTCCTCCCCATAGTTACTTCTTCTCTGTGTCCTTCCCTCCCATGCACTCCTGCCCCACTGAGCTGTGTCCTTGTGCATACACAGCCCTTCTGTTTTCCCATGTTTGATCTCTCCAAGGAATGTATCTACCTAATGTAAATGTTCAGCTCATATGCCTGTCTTTTGTTTGGCTGGAAGCCACAGGAGCTGGTTCAATTCCAGACCTGAAGAGCAGGTAGGGACCATCATCTCAGGGGTTCTTCCAAGCTCTATCAGACCAGCAAACCTGTTGTTGTTGTTATTTTTATGCTCCTTTGAGTCAGACCCAACTCATAGCGACCCTCCTTGGGTTTCCAAGGCAGTATCACTACGAAAGTAGATTGCCCACCCTTCCTTCCGAGGAGTGGCTGGTGGGTTTGAACCACCAGCCTTCTGGTTAGCAGTCAAGTGCCTTAGGCATTATGCTACCAGAGCTCCCCAGCAAACCTTGTCCCTTTTTTAAAAGCATAGCATAACCCATGATACTGTTGCCCTGAGATCATCTTTAAACCTTAAACCAAAACTATCCCCTGAAGTCTTCTTAAAACCCATCATTAAGCTTAACTAGTAAAAAGGACCTTCTTTGAGTATTATACTCTTTTAAGATCTATATGGGATCAAATAGACAACAGTAACTTGAAAGATTAGGTAGGAACCTTGTGTGGCAGTTAATTTATGGTAATGGAGGAGGAACAATCCAGAAAAAGAGAGTGAGAATAGTTGCACAACTCAAGGAATGCAATGAATGTCACTAAATGGTACATGTAGAAATTGTTCAGTTAGTGTGTGCTTTGTCGTGTATATTCTCAACAACAATAACAAAAATGAAATTTAGAGGAAAAAAAAAGCATAGCATATTCTTTAAAAATCAGTATGAATGATTGTGGTGATGCTTGCACAACTCTCTGGAAGTAGTAAAAACCATTGAACTGTGCATTTTAAATGATGAACTGTATAGTATGTGAATTATATCTCAAAAAATTTTATATTGAAAAATCAATGTAAAAATCATATTTTATACTAGATTTACCCCAAAATACTAAGTGTGCTTCGTGACTTCTTCAGTAGTGAACATTTTTTATTGAAAGAGAGAACAGAGTAAACAGAAGTAAAGCTAAATTTACCTATGTTGCTATTTCTGTTCCCAGCTTCTTGCTTTTTTTCATCTGTTGACTGCTGACTTCATAGCTGTTGAGCCTGAGAAAAGTAATTAAAGATGTTCATTCATTAATCTTACAAACACTAATCAGACATACATTCACAAAGAACTATACATTATATTATGCTACAAGGACATGATGACAAAAAATACAGCCTCTGCATTATGCCTTTAATGTCTTTTTTTTACCTTTAAACAATGAATTATCTTTACATATATTTTTTAAATGCATATCATTTGGTATTCTTTAGTAATGCTGTGAATGTTTGACCTCATACTTGTTCTTAAAAATCAAGGAGTTCTATGCTGCTCTTACTGGAAACTCTGACTTTATATTCCATATCTCCTCAAAAGGTACCTTTTTTCTTGTGTTAGAGATTAAAATTTTGTGATTTTCCCCTTTGGGTTTATAGATAGACACACACACACAGGACAGAGAGCAGTAGATGGGCATCCAGGGACTTAAGTTCACATGACACCCCTGCTGCTGAGATCCCACATGCCAATCTCTAAAACTGGAGTTGGAAGGAAATGTGTTCTTCAAGATTCTTTCCAGTCTTTATAGTCTGTGAGGGTGTTCATCTCTTTGATTTAAAAAAAAAAAAAAAATCACTGCCGTCGAGTCGGATCCAACTCATAGCGACCCCTCCTTGGGTTTCCGAGGCAGTATCACTACGGAAGTAGATTGCCCAGTCTTCCTTCCATGGAGTGGCTGGTGGATTGGAACCGCCAGCCTTCTGGTTAGCAGTTGGATGCTTAGGTACTATGCCACCAGAGCTTCCTAATGAGGACATGTAAATAAGATGTAAGATTTAGCACATATTATACCTTTCATATTAGTATAAAATGCATTCTAGAATGCACAAAGTATGGGGAAGTATGAATGGATAGTTGTTCAAATGGATTGTGAAGTTAGATGTTAAAAAATTGAAAGGTGGAAAAACAACTGGTATCTTGAAGAGGAAATGATATTTCTGATACAAGAAGGTATTTATGTCCTATTTTAAAGAAATATGCAGGGAAATCCTTGATAAGTAAAGACGTAGCAGAGATTGAGAACTTAGAGGTGTGGACTCCTATTGTGAGATTGGTGAGTGAATCTGGTAGCTGTAGGTCTCAGACACTGTTGTGTAGCATGATTATGATTCCATTGAGAAAGTGTGATAAAGAGGCTGGGAAGATACTACTTCCTGACTAGCCACTCTAGCTTCATCTACCTGGTATACTAAGTGGTCAGCATTCATTGTCAAATCCATGTGTGTTTCAAAGCTGTCCAATAGAGTGTCTTTTTTTAAAACCTTCCAGGATTCTTTCATAAGGAACAATAATTAAAAAATGTTAAATACATATATAAAGTCTGTGTTTATGTTATGGTGCTTTGTTTTTTATTGTTTTTCCTTTGCTTCTTTCTTGTTTTTTTCAGACCATCCAGGCCTTTCAAGTTACCAAAAAGGTAAAGTAATCTGGGACATTTTATTAAGTAATAACCTTGCCTGCATGCTGTTTCCCTTCCAGCATTTTCTCCCCATTTTTACTGCTGTTTCCCCGTTCTTATTTTCTATGAATGAAAAATAAATTTCCTTGAAGCTGGCTGCTTAAGGAATCATATATCTCTAAAAGTGATATTAATCTCAAGGTAGATTTTTAGCTTTTAAATTTTATTTGTGTTTAATCATTCCTATTTGGCTATCATATTTTTGTATAAATAACATGCACCTTTTACATGTGTTTACTAACCACTCCCCCAGTCCAGGATTGCTGTGCCAATTTTTTTGTTTAATATGTTGTTGTATAAATATATAACATAGAACATTTATAAAAATACTTCCCAGGGTAGATGCATATACAATGTGCATGTTATTTGCAGGAGAAAAATGGTGATTATTTTGCATTCCTTCTTGTAATGAATTGACTTCTCTGTGTCTTAGTTGTTGAGGAGAGAGATATACAGTTCCACCAGCTGCCCTGATGTGAATTCATTTCAATTTATGTTCAGGTGTTTGTGTTTCTTTTTCATATTTTTGATACCATATTAAGACTGGAGGTATTTTATCTCTATAGTAGAAAAGCAAATTTCAAATGGATAAGAGTTTCTGAAAAAGAAATACACACGTATATACGCACACACATACATACCTATTCTCATCAGCTGTCTTTATACATAGTAGTCCCAGATATAATGTCATTACAGAAATTCACTAGCCAGAGAAAAATGTCAGTTGCCAAAGAAAAATGGATGGTTTTAATACTGCCTCAGAAAAGTTATCATTTTTGAAGTAAAATTACTACATAAATCTTCATTATTAAATTCCCCTTTAGTTTTTACAAATATATATACTTATATGTGTATGCACACACACACACACACACACATACACGCTCCTCACTTACTGACATAGTTAGGTTCTAAAGACCAGATTATTAATGTGAAAATTGACATTATATGAAAATGGAAGATGACTACATCAGATTACAAAATTGAGGATGGACTGCATAATTATATAGCTGCCTCATTAAATCGTTATGTAACTGCTAAGTTACATTATTACATAACTGCCAAACCACTGAGAATTACTGACCAGTCAAGTTGACACATGCAAAATGGTTATGAAAGTAGCATATTCTGGCCTCCTCTAACTTCATAAGTGGGAGAGAAAAACACTACCAGCAGCATCACATCAGCCCAAGGCTGATTCTTTTGGGGCAGAGGTCAGACATACTGCCACCCTCCAACCTTCTTACCAATTCTGATACAAACCATCCCTTCCACAGCACTCTCTACTTCTCTGCTGAGCTTGATAATTATGTTGCAGTGGCCACACAGAACTAATGAACAAACTCGCAATTATGGGGTTTATTAGGGAAGTAACAATTCAGGTTTAAGAATGTTTAGGATACAATTCTTTGGTCAGGACAGCCTCGTTTGGCTATCTCTGCAGGCATGGTTGTCTTTGGCCCTTGGCCCTTGGCTTCTTGGCCTGGCTTCTCCCCTGCTCAGACAAATGCTACACATTTCTTTTGGGTCTGCCAATAAATGCACTCCACTCTGCCAGCAAGGCCTCCTGCCCAAAGGCACTCAGCTTTCTCAGTCTGTGGCCAGCAAGCCTACCACTCTTGTCTCTTGTTGGTCTTTTGGTTCTGCTGCCTCTGCTGCTGCTGTCTCTTTGCTCTCTCAGCACAGGGATCTTGGGTCCAAGGATGTGCCCCATTCCTGCTTTTCTCTCTTGATGGCAATGATACCCCCCTTTTCCACCTCTGGGATGGCTCATATGAAGCCTAGTACAATGGCAAAACTGACCACTCCCCACGGTAGGGTTCCATACACCTATTTCTACCCCCTCAAGGGTGCCATATACCTTATTTACATTATAAATAAGCTATCCAATCTCCTTGGTGGGCCACAAGCCCCTCATATTTACATAATTCATCCAGTCATATAGCGGGAGTCACAAAAACCAGGGCTAGAAGATCCATATTAAGTAATTCACTGTACCGCACATAACCCTAACATCACAGGCAGCATTACTTTTACCTTACACCTCGGTGTTCATTACTGCCGGATATTCATCATTAATGCAAAAAATAGTTGGATAGTAGATATTTTACTGTTTGTTGTTGTAAATGTGAACTGTTGGATAAGGAGATAGTTGCTAAGTGGGGAATAGGTGTGTGTGTGTATATAGGTGTGTGTGTATATAGGTGTGTGTGTTTATATAGGTGTGTGTGTGTATATAGGTGTGTGTGTATATATAGGTGTAGGGGTGTGTGTGTATAGGTATGTGTGTATATGTGTATATGTGTATACTCATTGAGTCAATTCCAACTATGAGCATGTAGGGGAGACATGGGTTCAAACCACTAACCTTTTGATTACCAGCTGAGTACTTAACCACTGTAATATATATATATATATATATATATATATATATATATATATATATATATATATATATATATATACACATTCATCCATATATAAAGGGAAGAGGTTATGCAGGTAAATATAACATATTAAGAAAAAGAATTTCTATTTTTTTCCTTAGAAATATAAGATCTTCTTAAATGAGTAGAAATTTTGCATTTTGAGAAGATTCATATTTTTTTTCCTTCTGATATTTGATTGGTGTGTTTTAAAAAGTGTTAATCTGTTCTTTTTAGTATATACATTTATAAATACAGCTTCTTCAAAAATGCCTTTCCTGATTACCTTTTCCCAACCTAGCTTTAAGTACTCTGTTCACTGGTTTCACAAAACACTTTATTTGTACCCTTCTAAGGATATTTGTCTCTTTTTACCTAGTTTTGTAGGTATTTGTGTACCTGTCTGATTTTCCTTATTAAGCTTTAAGTTCCATAGGGAAAGATCCATATATGCCATTTTTGTATTTTTTGTGTGCAATTTTTCAAGCTTCAGTCCTTCCTACATACTAAGTTGAGAGTTGATGACACTGGAAAAGTTGTGATTAATGATATTTCGAAATGCCTATTCTTAAGGGATAAGAGGAATAATGAAGAGTTATTAAGGGAAACAGAAGGGAAGAAACTGAGGAAGAAGAGATTTTTATGAAGAAAGGAGTTGTCAGTACTGCTGTATAGCACCCAGAACAAGGAAGATGAAAACCAATAATGCTGTGTTGATTTTTGACAGTTTCTGAAGAGTCATGATAGCAGAAGCCAAGCAGAGAGCACCTTATGCTCAGAAGCATGGCTTTTGGCTCAGAAGGGAAGGGTGGTTTGAGAAAGGCAGCAAACGGGAAGGGAAGAAAATCTCTGTAAGCTAAAAGAGACTTTAGTGCCCAAGAGCTAGTAGACCAATGGAAAGAATTATTAGAAAGGAAGGCAATATAAACTCAAGCTAGGAAGTGAGCACAAGGTAAATGCTAGAAAAATAAACAAATAAATAAACAGCATCTCAGAGAAAAGTCAGGAGCACAGTAGAGGTGCTGCTTCTTCAAAGAATTGTACAAAAGAAGAGAATGGAAAATACATAAAGACTAAACATAAAAATAGAGGAAACTTCATAAATCTGCTACAGAAACAAAATTTCATAGATCTTTGAAATTTATTAATAAAACCTTTGTTATTAAATCCAAGCATTCATGTCAGTTTGTCTTTCGTTCTCATAGTCATTTAAGATATGACTGGTATTATTTGGCAGGTATTACAGATTTGGTAAAACTGAGATACAAATTAATCAAGTTATAGATGTGGACTTCTAAGCAGTAGATGATACTAGATTATCCAATTTTTAAGGCTCTGCTAACAGAGCCTTAAACTGTTTTCTGAAACACATCCTGCTCACACATTACTGTGGTTAGGTGGAATGCTGATGCTTGGGGAGGTGACATGAGCTGACTAGGGAATGAGTCAGAGACTAATCTAGAAATAGATTTCAAGAAAACCTGGCTGCTTCTTTGAGACTCCAAACCAGAAAACACATTGTTTAAATCAAGGTATTCCTTAATCAAATATTATTTTTAAATAGATTGCGCTTAAGTGTACCTATTAAAGCAAGATTTTTTGAGAACTTATCTTGGTGTCTTCTGTTATGAATCCAGAGACAAAAAGAAATGCACACATTTTTCATTTCATGCTGACTAGTATAGTATTTAGGAGCTCTGGTAGCGTAGTGCCTAAGGCACTTGATTGCTAACCAGAAGGC